TTTTATACTTCTCTTATATTACTTTATTCTATTTGTTTTATGTGGTATTGTATGTGTAGTATATAATTATGTCTTTATGTAGAATATCAATGGGTGTTGGGAGACTTTTTAACGATCCGACCCTTTAGCGCAGTGGATAGCGCGTTGGACTTCTAATCCAAAGGTCGCGGGTTCGATTCCCGCAAGGGTTGTATTTCTTATTTTTAAAAATATTTTTTAACATTTTTCACAAGAATGTAAATATTTGTATGGAGAAATACTAATTTTTGATATCTTACAACAATTTTCAGTTATATGTGAGAGTTTTTATGGTGAACAATTAAGTTGAAGTTAAAAATCTTCGAAAGTAATCAAAAATATAAATTATAGATTCGAATTCAATAAAAATTCAGACCATGCACAGTCAATTAACAAACCCAGGTGCAATTATGTGCAAGCCCCACATAAAGCATTTATAAATTATTTAGAATGCATGCAACAAAAGTGTAAAGCTCATTAAATTAAACAAATACCCAACCAATTTGAATCGCTCAAGATGTTAATTGAAAATGAGAAAACCCCCAAGCAGGAGTAAAAAGTATGAGTAATAGATGCCCGCTGCTCCTGCTGCTGGTTAGAAAACGCTAAACAAACTATTTGCTGAACGCAAATAACATGAATTAAGTATCTTTGCAGAGCACAGAATCTCGGCACACAAACCCCCGAAGGACCAGGAGCAATCCTCGCTCAGATCAAGCGTAAATTGCAACAGCTGTCAAGTGGTCGCCGAGCGGCGGTTTTTCCATATCTGTTAAATACACAGCCAAACTAACAGCCTATTAAATTGTTTACATGCCCGGCACAAATATTGACAAAAGATGCGCTCCATAGCGCGGGGTTGCTTTTTTCTCTCACTCTCCCTCTCCCTCTCTCTCTCTCTCTCTCTCTTTTTACTCGCTTACATTACATGCTTGCACACATCTGTATGTACTCCACACACACAAACACACACACACACACACTCACTCACTCTTATACAATGTGCAATTACTGGCCGATAAACCTAACGGTAGCAATTTGTTGTCGCTCGCCAAATGATCAGCGGCGCACGCGAATTGCGAATCGCGCAGAGCCCAACACGCCACACAAATCAAATGAGCCGCTGAGACGCCATTTTGTTTGCCTTCAAAAGTGCAACACTGCATGAAGAAGCACTACATGGCTGATAAATAACAAGTAGAAGCAGAAGCAGAAGCAGAAGTAGAAGAAGAGGAAGACCAGACTAGTAATTTACAATTCGCAACCTGTTTTTTGTTTTGCTTGCATTTACTTTACCGCAATTTGCCAACAGTCATTCGCAGTCTGACCCGCCTCGCCACGCTCTCCGCTCTCTACTCATCTCTACACTCGTCCCATCTCTCTCTCTCTCTCTCTCTCTCCCTCTGCCTTTAGGTAGGCTTTAATTTATAGGCTGAACGCGTTCGTTGTTTGTTTAGCCAGACTTTGCATGTTGCTAAATGTTCTTGAAATAAATGCACCAACAACAAAAATTAATTACTAACACATACATATAAATATTTACACTGTACCTGAACATATATTATATCGTTATTATTATCGCCTTGCATTATAAATCTGCATTAATTCTTTCTCTTACGTCTTCTATTGCTTTTAAATTAAAATAAGTTCTTATACAAAGTTCTAACTTTTATACATAATATAATATCTATGTGTTACATATATGACTAATACGCAAGTGCTATTACTCACTTTTATGTCTGATATTAATCTAGTTGTATATATAATATTCCAATATATATATATCACATATATGACTAATACTCAAATGTTTTTAAAAATGGTTTCTTTATGCTTTGCGTGTCTTAGAAGAATTGTAATAAAAATGAATTGAATGGGCGGAGTACGAGTGTCAGACAGGAGGAAAAAACTATATTAAGCATTCGCCGTGTGGCATATCAATGGAAAAGAGCAGACTGGGCCTTTTTTAGTTGAAATGAAAGCAGCTGCAAGAGGAGCGCACAAAAGGCAAACAAAAATGGAGTGAGAGTAACTGCAATTATCCGAAATAAACAAAAGTTACACGGATCGACAACAACGTGCAGCAGGCACACTAAATAGGGAGAGTACAACAACTACAACAATAAGAGCAGCAACAACAGCAACAGCAACAGCAACGAAAAAAAAAAACGCATACTTAATTGCGGGTTTTTCAAACGAACGAACCCCGCTGCAAGTTCCCACTAGCAGTTGGAAACCTTTTGGACACTTGAATCGCCTGCCAACTGGGCCCCGAGGGTAACTGTTGGTTCAACGAGATCACCAGCCGAGCGCAGTTGCTTCCAAAAATGGCTACACACAGCGATATATGCGCGTCGTATATTGTATATTGAAAAATTGCTACAAATCGTCTAGGGCTCTCCAGTCGGACGCGTCTGGTCGCATCAACCCCTTTGCCGCACCCAAAGAAAAAAATCAAAATCTAAATAAAAAAAAAAAAAAAGCAAGAGCAACTATCCAAAAATGGTTGACATCTCACCTTATTTTCTGTCGCTAATACAAGCGCAGCCAACGGGCTAGAGGGAGAGGGAGGGAAATATCAGCAAAGAGCTGCGCTGATAAAAGTGGAGAGCTGAACGGCCATTAAGTGCCTGCATCTAATAAAGTTGACTCATGTAACAGCTGTCAGCATAA